ACTACTACTACTACTAGTACCACTGCCACTGCTACTACTACAACTGTTGCTGCAGCAGCAGCTGCTGCTAATACTTCACACTGTCATCATTCCTTTATGTTCATGTTTATCATCAGTTTAATACTCATATTTAATACTTATATCTACGGATGCTGTTTAGGCTTAGTTAGTGGTTTCGCAACAAGTCGTACTGAAGGCCTGAAGAGTTTCTCCCCTCCGAGAGCACAAAACCACCCAGCCTCATCCGCTCGGAGCGAAGCTGAGGAAGACGCGGAGCGAGATAGCTTCTCTGTGCAGTGCGATCGGTGGTTGGAAGATGACGAGGAGGAGATGCGAGTGAAGCATGCTGTAGTCGGGCATCCTCTAGTTGCTCTACTATACTGCGTATCTGATTATGGGGTCAACGACTCTGGAGGTTGCTTTCTTGCGGAAAGGTTTTGTTTATGCCAGATGTGGTCAACTTGTAGTGGTCGTCCCGCAATCGGAATGAGACTGGTTCCTTGTTGGCCAGGGTTGAGATTGCGAAGTGTCACCTTGCAGGTCCGGTCTTTCGAACCAAAACCTTTGCATCTATAAGATGGAAGTTGCAGGATTCTACAGCTTTTACTTTTACAGGTTTTCTTGCTTGTGCGATCATGACACCGTCACCGTGATATTCATTTCCATCATGATAACAATGTCTTTCAACGTAACGCGCGGCAGGCGCCTTCAATATCCAGCAAGGTGTTCACAATGCCTTTAGAGGCTTCCCCCAGCCTTTCCCCTTTTGCCGTTGAACGGACCTTTTGTGCTGACGGTCGCCAGCTGCCCACCAGGAGGAAGACGACCAAGATCCGCGCTCCGAGGAGGAGAATCTGCCGGTTCGGGAGTTTGCAACATTTTGTGACTTCGACTGGTAGCAGTAGCATCACATGTTGGCTGCATTTACCAATTCTGGTTGTCGCCTTGCATGTTTGCGAGCCATTACTAGCAGCACTGTTGCCAAGCACACACACACACACAAACACGCTGCATGGCTACCTGTGGCTACGATTGGTCCCATTGCTTCTGGCGTGAGCATTATCAAAGTTACTCTCTGCATGCTGGTGACTACTTCGAGTATATATATATATATATACACTACCATGATTCTATCGAATTGATAAACAGTGTCAAAGGCCTTCGTACCTTCATCTAAGCATTGGGACTGAAGCAGCCCCGCACTGAAGCTGCTTGCCCCGAACCCTTGCCTGTGGCTCAGCATGCACGTCAAAACGAATGCCATGTTGGATATGCCGTTAAGTTGCGTCAGTCTGATGCCCATGATTTGTAACGGTTTTGTTTTCCTTGGGAGTTTGGCCGGCGATGCATCAAGGAGAGAATCTACGACAGCCGCATGATCCTCCAGGATCAGGCGAAGGCATCATGCGGGTTGGGCATGTGGACGGGGTGCACCCATGGCAATTCAGTGACCAGCACAAGAAGCCCGAGATCTTGTGTCGCCAACCGCAAAGCTTACATCTCCAGCTGCGACGACTAGAGTTCCATAAGAAAAGATTAAATGTTTACCAACGAGACGCAGAGGGGGCTCCTTTCGGATAAGATGGTGTTCCACGAGGACTCCCTGTGCAGCTTGTTATAGCTGGTAATTAGGATACTAGCTATAATATGGGCCTCAAAACAGGCAGAGAAACTGAACTAAACATGCTCAAGGACTTGCGAAAGCCCCAACGAAGAGTCTACACTCCATGACCGGAACCCCACGAAGAAACAGAACGAAGACTCCAACTCCGGTTCTGAAAACAAACCGCCGTGTGACTAGAAAGATCTCCACATTAGCACGCGAACTTGCAGAAACCCTTAGAAACTGTCTTGATATGACACGACAGCGACCGAAAGGCTTTTAACCCCCCCCCCCCTCCTCCTCAAGCCAGGCCGCCGTTTTCACCATGACCAAGGCCATGGCCGAAGCCGAGGCCCGTAAGGGTTCTCCTGAAGACTCTATAGTCTATAGTGTGTTTCTTAAGGATAGGTTCTCTTTCGCTAGTGGGTTTATGCCTTTTGTTGGGGTTCATAGAGTCTGATGAGTTTTATTCCGGTTGTTGAGGGGTCTCTGGGGATGCGTCCGTTCTCGCTACTAAGCACAAGGCACCGAGTTGTTAACTTCGTGGTTGGACTTGGGACGCTTTGGTTGCTTTGCAGGAGCAGTCTTGGCAGAGGGGATGTCGGCGTCAGTTAGCTCGATACTGTGCAATGTAGTGCAAAACCATACAAAAATGTGCTCAGCATCATACCGGGCGCAACTCGCTTCTTTTGTTCTGCCGGGCTAACAAGCAAGCGCAACTCCTGGAAACAAAGACTTAGCCCATAGACTGCACACGCTGTAGTAGTTCGGCAACCATGCCCTGAGAAGCTTACTTGCTTCGGCTGCAGGACATGTGGACAGCTGTTTGTCAGCGTATGGAGTTGACAAGGACACCGGATTCGGACACAGTCTGCAATCCAACGAACAAAGCGCCCTGTGAGTAGCCGGTGCTTTCATGACAGGAGCACTTACCCTCCCGCCTTTGTCTCTCTCCTTCTTTCTCGATCATGTCTTCGGAGCACTTACTAGGTCACACAGGCTGGCTCTGCCCCCCTGGGTGAGAATCTCCCACGTAAGGATGTTCACGATCGCCAAGTGCCAGGCAGGCAACCTGCACTATTGCTTGCCATGTTTGGTTCTCAGCATTATCATTGTGATGAGTTGTATCTCCATGCCTACCAGTTCGTGCAGATGATTTTCGTACGTTTTCTGATCACTACTGTTCCATGCTTTACCACGACCATTAGCAGTTTCATCATCTTCGTGATGCCTTGTGAGAGGCGTGTAGGCCTTGATTTAAAAGTCCGAGCGCAGAAGACCATTTGCCTTGGTATAAGGTTTAGGTTCGGTCTAATGTCCAAGGCAAAAGCAACACTGGCCTCTGTTGCTTGAGGTCCTACATTCTGGAACCATCCGTGTCTCGTCCGATGGTCGGTGTCGCGTGCCGCGTGCTCCCGAATTTCAAGGTGTTTGCCGCAGCAACTACTCTGCTCAACGGAGTTTGCCCTGAAAGGTTTCCAAGCGACCTTGTCAAAGGTACGGGACTGCATTCCTGCAATGGCGGCAGAACACTCGCAGATCCTCAAGCTGGCAGGTGGCATGGCTTTGGGGGCCACTGCCTTGATGGTGGCCTCTGGCACGCTGAAGAAGTCCTTGACACTCGGGCACTGAGATTCGAATGAGTTCGAAAGAGTGTGTGTGTGTGTGTGTCTGTATATATATATATATGTATATATATATATATGTATGTATGTATGTATGTATGTATGTATGTATGTATGTATGTATGTATACAGACACCTGCTCACACGCAACCGCACTGTTATTAGTGTTTCCAGACTGCCCCCGCGCACGCTTCTGAATAGAAGTATGATCGCAAGTTCTGCAAGACACGTGAACTTACTCCGCTGCAAGAATCCACACACCATCACTGATCTGCGCCTTGGAGGGGTTGGGGCTGCATGCAGGATGCTTATCCTTGCATCTTCCTCGGTTGGAAGAGCAGAGAGTGACTTTCGAAGCTCTTATGGCTGAACTGCAGTCCAGATACCATGTGCCAAGCGGTCTCATGCCATGAAGCCACGAGAAAACGACGCCCGGCCCCGTTCGCAAAACAGTCGAAAGCCCGAGCAAGTCTTCAAGCCTGCAGCAGCTCTTGCAAAATGATCAAGCTCAAATTGCAGAAATGAGTAAATGCACATATATAGTATAGCATAGTACAGTCGAGCATAGTATAGTATAGTATAGTATAGCATAGTTATTTTGTATAGCATAATATAGTAGGGTACGGTATAGTATAGTATAGTTGTGTATAGACAGCTTGTTTATATTAAGTAGAATCACATTGAAGTTAGTGTAGAATAGTTTCGAAAAGTTTAGTCTGGCAAACATGAGTATGGCTTACAACAAGCTACCGTAGTATAGTTTCGAGACGTATAGTTCAGCAACTTACTAAGCACTGCCAGATGTTCGCCATTGATAGAGGCCTCTTGTGAGCCGTAACAGGGGGAAGGGTGATCTGCCAAGGAAGGAGTCAGCACGACGTGCTGCTTCGTCCCCTTTTGAGTACCACCTGGCAGTGCATTGCTCCGAGATCCCGTCCGGTGCAGTGTGGCAGTTGGTGAAGCTGCCCAAAACTGCGAAGGTACCAGACTTGCATGAAGCCACCCTCGTGGCTTTGGGCAAAAGCCAGCTTCCAGAAGACATGGAGAAGTTTGGGTTCTATGCAGTGCAACGGAAAACGGCGGATGGAGCTTGTGAGAAGCTCGGGGATCGCCTGCTGGAAGTTGGAAGCCTGGATCTTCTGCTTTCAGCTCTGCCACCAGAGCATCTACAGGTGATTCAGTTGATCTTTGCAAGGGAGGCACCCTTTCCGTCAGATGTGCCAGAGGGGCCCAAAGCCTTCCCCACCTGTGGCATTTGCTTACCGGTCATGGGCACCAGCTACCAGAACAATGGACCTTATCCGATTCCGGAGTATAACTTCGCCCGGAACGTGTTTCCCCCAAATGGCGAGTATCCCTATGGTTCCACTGTTCGGAGTCACGCAGGTCAAAAGCAGACTGTCGCGGGGTTCGGCGCCTCCGTCTTGCACGAGGATGCTCAATATACCGAGACCATGACTGCCGATGCGAGCATCATCCAAGAGATGATGTCAAGAACAGCAGACTTCCCCAAGCTTTGGAACCGGGATGTTGAGGTCGGTTTGCAGGCGCGGCTTCTGCTGTAGAGAGTTGTCGTGTGGATGGAGCCACCTAGAACCATGCGATGGGTTCGTCCAGCCATGGAGTACTCTTTGTCGCCCCTCGCGTCGCCAAACTCCAAGCACCCTCAACCATTGGCGCAGCCTCCACAACTCTGAAGCTCCAGACCGTTTACATCATCATCAGCTTCTTCATCTTCATAGCAATGAAAGCATCAACATCATCATCATCATCATGACCATCCTCGTCATTATCATCACCACCATCGTTATCACCATAGCAATGAAAACAACAGCATCAGCATCGTAGCAATGAGAAATCATCTTTATCACCAGCAGCAGCATCATAGCAATGGAAACAGAATCATGATCACCAGCATCATCAATATCATCATCCTCATCATGACCATGCCTGCGATCACCGTCATCTTCACTGTCGTCGTTCTTGTGAGTGGAGTCGCCTTCCTCTTCTTGACCTACTACGTTGTCAGTTTCGTCGTCGGCATCGTTTTGAAGCCCAGACCGCGAGCAATATTGTGTAGCCTCCCCATCCTCATCGTGCCCACAGAATCAGGATTGGTGTCAGTCACCGTCATCAAAACCGTCAGTGCTTCCATCGCTTTTGCCATAATCCTCGTCTCACCATCAATCCTCACGCTCGTCGCCATCAGCAGGAGCATCATCGCTATCCTCGCCATCTTACCATCGCCAACCTCTTGATTGTTGCCTGCTCTGAAGGACTTCACGGCTAATGGGCTGTTCACCAGCAGCGAGCAGTCACAGGATTGGAAGACAGGCCACAGTCTCCTCCCTCGTGGCTTCAACCAAATCAAGGTGAAGAGCTTCGCACCACAGATCTTAGCCAAGACGCGTGCCTTCGTGGGAGAGTGGTCGAAGTTTGAAGCTGGGCAGCTGGTTGAAGATGTGAATGAATGGCTGACCGCCATGACAGCAGATGCCGTGGTCTCCTGCAGCATGGGAATGGACATGCAGAATGTGGAACGTTTGGGCTCCAAGCAGACACCTCACAAGTTTGTCGAGACCTTCCGGTTTGGCCTAGGGGTTTCCATGGGAAGCATCACGGCTCAGACTGAGTATGGCCTCAAGCGGTTCCTGCCCTTCTTCGATGCAGAAGGTCAGCTTCAAAAGAGGTACCAAGCCAGCAAGAAGGAGATGCAAAGGCAAGTGGAGGATCTCGTTGAGGCAACGCGAAGAGGCGAGCTGGGGGACAACTCTATCATTGCAACGATGCTCAACGACTCCGGTGCCGATGGCAAACATGTTCGCTTCGGCGCGCTCTATGGCCACATCGTGAACTTGATGATTGCAGGGCACGAGACCACGGCGGCTACCCTAGGTTTCACACTGCAGCTTCTGGCGGAACATCCCGTCTACGAGGAACGAGCGTTGGAGGAGGTCAGGCAAGTGTTGCAGGGCCGTGCCGAGCCTTCTGTGGACGACGTGCCCAAGCTGCAGTTTGTGGAGCAGTGTTTCCGCGAGGCTCTGCGGCTTTACAGCCCTGTGACGTCCATCACGCGGGACGTGGCCTATGATACGCTGCTGGGGGGCCATCGGGTCCACCAGGGTGAGAGGATCAACTTGGTGACCCGTGCCCTGCATACGAACCCAGAGTACTGGGGTGGTGAGTTTGGAGACCCCTTGAGCTTCAATCCAGATCGTTTTGCTCCCGAGGCGGTGAGACAGCGACATCCCAATGCCTATCATCCGTTTGGCTTTGCCAGTCGTGCTTGCATCGGAAGCCAGTTTGCCCTCTTCGAAGCCAAGACCTTCTTGGCTTCGATGTTGATCCACTTCCGACTCGAAGGCATCCCGGGGTACGAGATGGTGGCCAGTTGTGAGGGCGGGGGTGCCTCGCCATCCCCGGAGAACTTGGCGTTCCATGTGTTCCCACGCCCAGGAGGGCCACTCTGGTGTGATGGTATCATGCGGCCTCTCCGGGCGGCTGCGTCTTACGAGGCAACTGCAGAATCGATGCAGGATGATGCAAGCGACTCATAAAGTATCCCGGCAGGTCTGGGAATCTTGCATGACCGTGCCAGCAATTTGCCGACTTGGTCTTATTATATTTTGTTGTACAGAGGTGGGACAACTCCATCGACGCTTAATGACCTGCAGCAAACGCAGCAAACTTCGCTTTCGACCTGTGTACAGATGCCGGCTGCGGATCGATGGCCGGCCGGAGGATCTAGAGTGATCTAGAGTCCAAGCGAAGGCGTGTACGGAGTACCTGGTTTGGGACTGGCCGCGGATCGATGGCTGTCCACATGAAAAGGCAGGTCGTACTCATTGCGGTTGCAGCTGCCACAATATTGTGTTGAGGTCCAGGATTGTTCATCAACTGGCAAAGCTGCTGTTGCTCTTTTGTCCCTTTTGGACTGTAACGCCACTTGAACTTGTAGTTGCAATTGTGGCAATTTAATTGATACTCATTTGATCCCATAAGCAGAAGTATTTGTCCCAGCCGTCGTCGTCTTTGGTCGTCTGCCCCAGGCCGATGCAGAGTCGAAGTTTTCGCAGGTACTGAGCGAGCAAGCTTTGGTTTGTTAATTCCAAGACAACCAAAGGGACACTCAGGCAGACCAACTCTGCAAGTTTCCCGTGTCGAAGGTGTATATTCGTGCTAGCCCACTGAAAGGCCGATATCAGTGCCTGCTAGCTCGATGGTCCTGAGAGGGCATCGCTGAAATCCGCAATCGTAGGATCTCCCCCATCACCACATCGCAATGCATGACAGGCCTCCGAAAACCGCTGGCTACGCTTCACTGCTTTCTGTGGTCCCCTGGCTAGCCTTTCAGGTTTGCTTGAGGTCGCGGGTTCTCTATTGGTGGCTCCAATTTCTTATCTGGGCTGGGCGACAAAAACAGCATCCCAGGCTGGTTGCGGCAGCTGCAGGACCTGCAAAGCTCGCTAGGGCAGGGAGGGTCTTGTCGGATGTGACACCTGATCAAGCCCCTCACCCCTCATCCCCAAAGACTTTCAAGTGGCCTGTCCTGTCAATCTACCGTACCGGCGATCAGATGCTTGAAGTTTGAAACAAGTGCTTGAGGATCACAGCACAAAACGCTTTGCTGTCCGGCGCGTTTCCGACCGAGCACGGCCCTACGATCTTGCGGAGCAGCCCTGCAGCAGAGATGCAGTGCAGGATGTGTTATTTCAGCAGTTGTGGGTTTACAAGGTTTTCAGACCATGCCAGTTGCTGCATCACCATCAGATTGCCCTATATTGAGGATGTTGTGATGGCATCTCTTTCCGACCCTTGTATTCACTGAACCGCGAGACATCACAAAACATGCTACACATCGGGAGGTGAACTGCTGTGAGATGTGCACACAGCTCAATATCTTACCCTTTCAGTCTACAGGGTAAGATACGAGGGATCCGAATATGACGGCCTCATGAGTGGGTGCGGGCATACGTGTCAGGGTTCTAAATTCTACATTAGCATCATTAGCACTGAAAGCTATGCCTGGCTCCAGAACTGCTGTTGCCGAGTCCTCTCAGGTTCTTCTACCTCTGGCAGGTGCAGCATAGACTGTGTGGTTCTAGGAGTTTCTAAGTGTCTCAAACTAATCGGCTCACTCTTTTCTGGCGGCCTATAGTAATCACAACTTCTGTCTGGATGCTGTGCGAAATCCAGTCCTTTAGACAGCGGGGCAGAGCGTATACTTGTACGCGTTCGCGAGTGAGGGGATTGGCGCCGAGTGCCAGGCCATGCGAAGAATATCATGGAGAGTATAAACAGTTGACTTATGGTTATAGCTTCCGGCTGACCTAGATCTGGAGGCAACTTGGGCAGGGAAGTTATGTATGCAGAGATCTTACAAGCACTTTTTCTCCTGATCTACCAGCTTCAGAATGAAAGGGATCACGTGATTTTCTTGTGAGTTCTTGCCTCTAAGTGGCCTTTAGATCGTTGAAAGGTCCAGGACATCACAGGTGGAGCTGTAGTCAGCCCGAGCGAAGCATCGATAACGACACGAGAAAGTAGCAGAACGTAGCATCCATCCGGATTTGTCAATCCAATTTTAAGCGGATGCCATGTCCAGCCAGGCGCAGATGAATCAGACGTGCGAGATGGAAAAGGCTTCAGCACATGTTTGCCTAGCCAGCTCTTTGACTAGGGTTGAGGGAAATCTTGATATTTTGTCTTTAGTGTTTTGCGGCTTGGGGTCCTCGTGTGAGCTTGGCAGTCTGCCCCTACCGCAATGCTTCAGCCAGCGTGGAAAGGGTTTCTTGAACAATACGGAGGAGAAAGTCAGCGGCTCCGGCGCACATTCAGCAACGAAGATATCTAATCCCGGTTTCTCGAAAGCACCTTCGAGCAGCCTGGATCCGCTTTCTTTAAATCTTTATAAATCTTTATACATAGATCACCAAATGGAGACGTGGAGCTGAAGCTCAGCCTTTGAGAACCTTTGAGAACCTTCCAGCCGAGTACAACAAACCCAGGGCTCTAAGCCCCAAGCTCCTTTGACAACAGAAAGATAAGTCAAGTGGGCCGGGAAGTGACAATATAGTTGAACAGACCTGATTAATGTGGGGGTTCCTTATTATAAGTATCCTACTCTAATTATTAAGCCTAAGGCACCTATATTACCTCACCGAGCTTCTTACAAGCCTGTTGGAAGCACATTGCAGGTCCTGGGGCGCCTGACTCGGGGCTCCCTGGCTCTGAGCACTGCCGGCTTCGTCATGGGAGGCTGGGGTAATATAGGGGCCTAAATAATTACCTATACTGTTTTGGGGGCTCCTTTTTATAATTCTAGTATCATGGGGGGCTCCTTATTATAATTATAGTATAATATACCCCCTAGAGCATTGAACACCTTTGAATATATGCGCGTGCTCTTGAGCTGCCGCCCCCATCATACAACCTGCTACTTTGGGGTCTTCTTGCATGGATTGTCAAACAGGATCCTGAATTCGTGCTTGATGCCGTCGGTCGGCATGAGTGAGAGCGAGACGAAACACCGGAGTTCCAATACTGCATACATGGCCACATAGCGCATGCTCCCGCAAACCGTCAAGAGCAGTTAACATTCATCATCATCGACATCACTCATCACCATCGAACGGCACTTCTGGAACTGGCACGATTCGTGATTTCGGGGCTATTGCAACTTAAGCTTCCTTTGTGAACATGAAAAGGCCGGACTCCTGGGTCCTTGCAAGGCGCTAAAGAGCAAAAGGTGGTTCAAAAAAGGAACGGTAGTAATTGTACCTCGATAGGATCGCAGTAGAATGCTAGCCCCGTTTTTCCAGAGCGAAGCCAAGTCATTGGCTTATATCGTAGCTGGGTAGTTGGAGACTGGTTTGCTGGTGCTTCTCGGAGAAGCTCTCTCCATGTCAGGAGGGTGTAGACTGGTAGATATAGGGGTCGCGACTTGCCTCTGGCTGCCCGTTAGGCGCAGACGTGCTCAAACTGCTGCGGACTTACTTGACTGGGATGCACTGTCATACTGGCAAAGTGTTGTCGCATGGCTGCAGACATGCTTCAACATGATACAGCCATGAAGGGGTCGTGAGAGTAGCATAATCACGGCCATGTTGACATTGATGATGTGGTGATTGCAGTGATGCTGACGATGGTGGGTGGGAGTATAGTTATGAAATCCGTGAAAGCCGCGAGACGTGTTGATGAATGGAGGTGTTCGTGATGCTGATTCTGAACAAGTAGCTGATGCCGTTGGTGGTGTTAACGGTGTTATTGAGATGACGATGGCGATGATCACAGCATTCATGACTATGACGCCACAACTGTCTCAATTGTGTTTGCCACGGTGGCCTCAATCATGACGGCCGACATGGTACTTAGTGAAAATGGCAGTATTGATGCTGACATGGATGAGCGAGATGGTATCCTCCTTCTGCTACGTGCTGCCACTGCTACTGAGTTACTGCTTGACACAAACTCCTTCCACTACTGCTGCTACTTCCACGCCACTGCTTCTGCCACTGCACCGGCACCACCACAACCACTTGCGCAACAAGTACTACGAGTTCTACTACGACAAATACACCAACTACATCAAGTACTACTACTACCACTACTACTACTACTACTACTACTACTACTACTACTAGTACTACTACTACTACTACTACTACTACTACTATTTCTACTACTATTTCTACTACCACTACCACTACTACTACTACTACTACTACTACTATTTCTACTACTATTTCTAC